AGATATATAGGATTTCTTTAAGAATATAAGCTTGCAGCCGGGCGGTGGTGGCGCACGCCTTTAATCCCAGCACTCGGGAGGCAGAGCCAGGCGGATCTCTATGAGTTCGAGGCCAGCCTGGGCTACCAAGTGAGTTCCAGGAAAGGCGCAAAACTACAGAGAGAAACCCTGTCTCGGAAAAAAAAAAAAAAAAGAAAGTATATCTATTATAGCATGTGGACAGTAGTTTTTTCCAACAGAAAAACATTCTTTAAACAATGTTTCAGTAGTAGCATTTTGCTTAGCATGCACATATTCTGATCTCTAGCACCACCAAAATAAGTAAACACCCGTTTCAGAGAAGCACTGCAAAGATGATTAAGTTCTTGATACACACACACACTGAGCTTAAATTCTTGTGGTTGAGGGTCAGAGAACAGAACCACTATATTATATTAAAGATAGGTTTTGGTAGCACACGCCTTTAATCCTAGCATTCCAGAGGCAGAGACCCGCTGGATCTCTGTGAGTTCAAAGCCACACTGGAAACAGCCAGGCATGGTGACACATCCCTTTAATCCCAGGAAGTGATGGCAGGAAGCAGAAAGGTATATAAGGTGTAAGGACCAGGAATTGAAGCCTTTTTTTAAGCTTTTAGGCTTTTGAGCAACAGTTCAGCTGAGATCCATTCAGATGAGGACTCAGGTTTCCAGTTTGAGGAAATAGGATCGGCTGAGAGGTTAGCTGTGGCTTGTTCTGCTTCTCTGATCTTTCAGCATTCACCCCAATACCTGGCTCCGGGTTTGTTTTTATTTAATACGACCTTTTAAGATTCATGCTACAAATTCTCATCTGTTGGAGAATAAATAAATGCACAGCAAGTTCTGCAGAATGCTTTGAACTGACAGGCCTCTGAGTAAACTTTTCCTTGACAAGGAAATGTCTAGGGAATTATATCCTTACCCTTTTTATAATTGGTATAAAAGTTTGAAATGAAGACATGAAGAAGCAGGATAAGTTTTGAATAAACTTGTTGAAATTTTCAACTAAGTTACAGTGTCCTGTTTTAGTTAGGTTTTCTATTGCTGTGAAGAGACACCACTACCATGGCAACCCTTCTATAGAAAAACATTTAATTGGGCTTGGCTTACTGTTCAGAGGTTTAGTCCATTATCATGGTGGGAAGCATGGCAGCATGCAGGCAGATGTGGTGTGGAGAGGTAGCTGCGAGTTCTACATCTGGATCAGCAGGCAGGAGGAAGAGAATGAGGCACTGGGACTGGCTTCTGGCTTGAGCATCTAAGACCTCAAAACCCACCCCCAGTGTCACACCTACCCCAACCAGGACACCTCCCAATAGTGCCACTCCCTATGAGCCTGTGGGGACCATTTCTTTCAAACCACCACATGTACCCCTTTTATGTGAGAATGATTTCATCATTTTGCATTATTTACTAGGTAATTTTGTTTATTACTAGTAGATCTGTTACATTAATATTTCAACGAGACACATTTAAAGTATCACAGAACTGCTTCAATTTCATTTTGATAGTAGGTTGATTTTTTTTTTTCTCTAGAAAAGAAGTAATTTGAGCCCAGTAAGTACTCTACCATGAAAAGAATTCTCTTTCTATAGACATAAAAATTTGGAATACTGCAAATATTTTTGAATCTTAGCCTAGGGTTGGGATAAAACGCAGTATGTTAAGAATGTAGCAACATTAGCAGCATTTCTCTTTTTGACATGGATAAGAATCAGTCAACTTGCTTGTGTGTGTGTGTGTGTGTGTGTGTGTGTACGTACGCTTTTGGATTATGAAACAGCCCAAGGTTGAGTCCAAGGATATTTAGCTTTTATGAATCATTCTTGTGTAGGTACTCAAAGGACCATGGGTTAAAAACTACTTTTAAATGCTTGAACTAATTGTTGTGCGTCTCTTCCTCCCCACATACACACTTTTCTTTCTAAACTCATTTTTCTGAAAATATATTCAAGGGTGATTAAACCTTGAAAGTAGTGGCAGGAACAGTGCAGTAGTTAAAAAAAGCACTTGCTACTCTTACAGAGGACACCAGTTCTGTTCCAAGCACCCATAAGGTGACTCACAGTCATCCCTTACTCTAGTTCCAAGGGATGTGGCCTGACCTCTGTGGGCCCCAGGCACACAAATGATACATATACACACATGCTGGCAAAACACTCGTACATGTAAAATAAAATGTAAAGGGACATGGGTGGTCTAGAGAAATGGCACAATAGTTAGGAACACTTGCTGCTCTTGCAGAGGAACCAGACTCAGTTCCCAGCACCCACATCATAGTGGTTCACAACAATCCATAACTCAGTTCCATGGTATCCTCTACTCTCTTCCTGATCTCTAAAGACACTAGGCATGCCCATGGTGCATAACCATATTCAGACAAATACTCAAAACAATAATGTAATAGATCTGAAAAAAAAATTCTGAAAGGTAATTTGTAACAGATTAATAAGCAGTGTAAGCCCTAATACCTGTTAGGAAATCTTACTTCTAAAGTTGCTAAGGTACTAAAGTTGCTTTAGTCATCTTTGTTTCCCTGAAAAAAATCCTTCATTGGAAGCCTGTATACAGTATTTGTTTGTTTTTTGTTATTGTCATTGTATTTCTGTTTTGTTTTTTAAAGAAAAAGTTTGTTAGGGCACAGTAGAAGAGCATGTGGGGGGGGGTTTGGGGTTTTGTTTTGTTTGGTTTTTGAGACAGAGTTTCTCTGTGTAGCCCTGGCTGTCCTGGAACACTCTCTAGACCAGGCTGTCTTCAAACTCAGAGATCCGCCTACCTCTGCCTCCCAAGTGCAGGGATTAAAGGCGAGCATTTGGGAGAGTTAGTTGATGTGGTTGACTATTATCATAGCATTAGGCTTTAATACAGCACAACTTTGTTACATAGGTAATTAGGGTGATTGATACTATCTCTGGATGGTATTGATCACACTGCAGAATTTACAGATGTTGGGCTCTCCTTTGAAAATTCTTCCGCAAATCATCCTTACTTTGAACTAGCTTTTCAAGGAAGGTTAATAAAATTACTGATTTAATACCACATTCCACTCATTCCTCTTTTAAGATTGTTCACAGGCCAGGTTGATTGTGCTAAACACATACAACATTGTGTTCTCTAAGTTTGCATGTTGGCTTTGTATCTGTTGTAGTTTTCCAAGTTTTCTCACATTTGACAGGTTAGTCCTGTTTCCAACATTGCAGTATTTCTGGCAGTCTTTACTGTTTCCCAGCATGTAGCATGATAACTTTTCATTTTATGCAAACCTGAAAAATACTTAGGGAAGTACATGGCATTGCCTTTAGCAGAAATACTTAAACATGTAGGGCTAGTATATGCCTGTCATAGTTATACCATACAAAAATTATATTATGAGACTTCATAGGCAGCGTTTGGTGACTTAAGCTTCTGGATTGGGTCTGTTATGTTTTTTATACTCAGCTGCCTGGGAAGCTAAACATGATGGTTTGCTTAAGCTCAGGAGCTTGAGGCCAGCCTGTGCAACATAGGAAGACTCCTAGAACAGAATAAAATCAACTGACCAGTACAGATACATACATAGTTTCGACACTCGATTTTGTATGTCTGTATGTGCGTGTGTGTACCACGCCCACCATTCCTTAACATTTGGTATTTAAGGTTAAGTTCCTTATGTAGCCAAGACCAGATTTTATTTACTTTTCAGAAACAAGTTTTCAGACACTAGCTACATAGCAATATCAAGGGCCAACCTGGTCTGTAAGACCCTTTCTCTAAAAATAGCTATAAGAGAAAAAAATGCACAAATTCAATTGATTTGAAATTGCATGTTTTACAGTTTATATTAAGTTTACGCCAACATTCATACTATGAATATGCCAAAAATATTAATTTATTTAAACCACTTGTGTCCATTAATATGTTAGTTCCAAAAAAATGTATAATGAGACCGTTTCCTCTGATATATTGAGGAAGTAGGTGTAGAGAACATAGAGTGAACAGAATTAGCCATTAGTTGTTTGAAGCTGAGTGATAAATACATATGAGTTCATACTTTTCTCTTAACTTTTTAATACAAAAAGTTTATAGAAATGCAGACAGTTGTTAACATATTTATTTGAAAAGTAACCATACCTTGAAACTAAGGTATTTTGAAAAATGCACTAACCGGAAAGATTTGAGTAGGAAATCTGTGCTCACCCCTGTCGGTGCATTAGTTGAAAACATTGAGTCCAGTAAGTTTCAGTTGATGGAGAAGATGAAGTTTCCTCATTATATCAACTAAAAAATTGAGCTAAAGAGAAGTTAGATGTGTGTTCTTAGTTCAAGGTCTGTACCTTTGATAGCAGTACACACTGAAAATCTGTAATGGATGTCTATATAATGTGCTGAGTCCAGAATGTTATTTGCAACATTTTTTGTAATAGTGAAAAGGCTGAAAAATATGTGGTAAGACTGTTAACAGTGTGTACTGATAAGAAAGGCCTTCAACTAAGACTGCTTCATGAAAAAAGCAAAGTCAGAATCTTACTTCTGGGCAGTACACTGAGAAAAGAACTTCAGCTGAGTACTTTGTGTGTTATGTTCTCATTATCTGCTAGCTTTTACAAGATGCAGGCAAGCTCGAGTTGTTCACTGTAGGGATGGCATAAGTCACTTTGGGAAAGAAGACTTAACTTCATTTTTATGTGCTTTCAGTTTTTCATCTTAAGTAAATATTGAGTTAAATGAGTTTATAAATAGTATTAAAATGTTACCTGAGCTTTCATTTTGGAGCTATCCTGTCAAAATTGTTGGAATTAACTTTTATGGCTTTTTTGCTTATTTATAGATTTATAGTTTCATAATTTTCAGAACCATAGGCACTATTAGACTACAATTGCAGTACAGCCTTAGCCTTATCATTGTGACATGACTTCCTAGTCATGCAGCTGTTTATTACTTCAGAATGAATATAAAAATAACTTAAATGTCCAAGATGAAATTGTACAATATCAGGATGGATATCTCAAGAATACTTTTTGCTTGTGTGAATAGCAACTCTGTTTCTTTATGAAAAAAATTCACTTATTTAAATAGTAGCTAGAGAAAAATGAGACGGCTACTCACAAGAATAGTTTTAGTAAATTTGATGGGTGTGCTCTGAAAGTTTTTTTTTTTTTTCCGAGACAGGGTTTCTCTATGTAGCTTTGCGCCTTTCCTGGAACTCACTTGGTAGCCCAGGCTGGCCTCGAACTCACAGAGATCCGCCTGCCTCTGCCTCCCAAGTGCTGGGATTAAAGGCGTGCTCCACCATCGCCCGGCGGCTCCGAAAGTTCTGAGATAGAAAAGTCTGGTTGATTTAAGTGTAGCAAGATACTGAAAGAGTTTTAAGTGATATTTCCTTCTTTACCTTTATAAGGTATCTTGAAGTTTCATCATTTCATAGCAGTCTATAATCTTGATTTTTCTTGATTAACATTTATTTTAGAAATTTTATATAAATTATACTAATCTTGGAGTAAACTTTCTTATTATGTTTACCTCTTTTTGGAGATACTCATTTAAGTAACAGATAACACTTACTTGCCAATACAGACATTGCTAAATTGGAGTTCATAAAGTTTGTAATTTCTGCCATGTTCTTACTAGGTAACAAGAAGGTTGAATTTCAGCCTTTACTATGATTCTTGGTCCCAAGTTGGGCTAAGACCCTAGAGCCTTGAGTTTTGAAATTGAGGTGCATTCTGACGACATTTGCTGAAGTGAGTTACTGCTGAAATATCTTGCATTCTATTTTGGATGTCCTTTTAGATGTAGCACTTAAACCATAGGACTATTGCTATTTCTGTACCCACTTAGAGGTATCTGCAGAATGATTTTTGGGCCAACTGCCAAGATGTACAAAACCACACTCCTGTCCGGTGTACAGCTTTTTCTGCATGGCTGTGACAGGAAGCCCAACAGCACTCTTCTGTCAGTGCAAGGTTCAGTGCAAGCACAAGCACATTTACTCAAGGTAGAACATCTTTCTATGGTTTTCTGTTCCACATCAACAGCTCATCTGTATTCCAAACAGCTTATTCGTTTTTTGGTTTTGTTTTTTTTTTTTTTTCTCTTCAAGAAATTTTAAGTTTACCTTTTTGCCCCTGATTAAATCTGTATACTAGCTTTGTAACGTTACAACATACAAGCCAGAGATAACGTATTGCATGTACTTCTTGTGGGGTAACTTAAAAAAAGGGTGGGACGGGAAAAGGGGAACTGTCAGCATTTAGGTCAGTATTTTTCTTTTCTTTTTTGTGACAGGGTTTCTTGTGTAGCCTTGGCTGTCCTGGAATTAGCTCTATAAACTAGTCTTAAGCAAAGTCGTGTGCTACCACTGCCAGGCTTTAGGTCAGTCTTTTAAAACACTTCTTCACTTCCTTATGTTTAATTATTTTGCTTTTTACATGTCAACATTGTTGTCAATGTTATTAAGCTTCAGGATTTACAAACAGCACAATGAACATATTTCTTACCTGCTTTCTGGTAAAATATTCTGTAGTACAACATTTTTGGGTAGCCAGGAAATTGCTATTTCTTGTCATCCTTTGGTATTCTTTGTCTTTCCTTCTGGGACTCTGAAAGTATCTCATGTAAACTTTTTAGTAAGATTATACATTTTTAAACTTCCCTTATCAAGAAGCAGTCAGAGCTGGGCAGCACTCCGGAGGCAGAGGCAGGAGGATCTGTTGTAAGCTAACTTACTTGGCTTTTCTTCTAAATGTATTTTGTTCCTCAGGGTCCATGTGAGTAATTGTTAAATACAAGGTCCTGTAGCATTCAGTATTTGGTAGTAGTCTGCTGTTGAAGATTACTGTCTAATATATAAATCTTAGAATTAACTTCACCTGGAGTGGTGGTGCACACCTTTAATCCCAGAACTCAGGAGGCAGAAGCAGGCGGATCTCTGAGTTCGAAGCCAGCCTGGGCTACAGAGTGAGTTCCAGGAAAGGCTCCAAAGCTATGCAGAGAAACCCTGTCTCAAAAAAAAAAAAAAAAAAAAAAAATTAATTTCAAGAATCACAGCCTTGATCTGAATTCTGATGTTATCTCCTTAGAGACCTTAGAGTATGTAAAATTTATTTTTAAAAAAATGTTTTCCCATTCGGTAACTACTAATTTATATATACTCTTATTTTCTCACCAAAATTACTCGGTGAAGCCAATATGTTTTCTGTTTTATTCCTGTTACATAGTACTGTACCAAATACAGGGTAATTCCTTTGTATTTTGCTGAGTAGATGCAATGAACTAAACTTAGGAAAGACTTTAAAAACTTGAAGTTAAAATAAAACTGGGGACTGGAGAGATGGCTCAGCAGTTATGTGCTGCTCTTGCAAAGGAGTGAGGTTTGTTTCCCAACGCCCATGTGGCAGTTTACAACTGTTTGTCACTCTGGTTCCAGAGGATCTGACACCCTCTGACCTTTGCAGGCACCAGGCATACATATGGTACATATAAATATATGCAGGTAAAACACTCATACACAGGAAATGAAAATAAATAAATTTTAAGAAATGTACTATACTACTAAAGAGAATTGGATTCTGTAGCAGGAATCTTAAAAGTTCTTATTAATAAAATCAAACCCGAGGCCGGTTATTGGGGTGAATACTGGAAGGTCAGAGAGACAGAACAAGCCACAGCTATCTCACCTCACCAGTTCCTCAGCTGGTCCTGTTTCCTCAGACTGGAAGCCTCTGAGTCCTCATCCAGAATGAATCTCAGCTGAACTGTGTTGCTCCAAAGCCTGAAAGCTTAACCAGCCAAATGCTTCTAGTTTCTGGTCCTCACGCCTTATATATCTTTCTGCTTTCTACCACCACTCCCTGGGATTAAAGGCTGGCTTTCTGGGATTAAAGGCGTGTGTCACCATGCTTGGCTATTTCCAATGTGGCCTTGAACTCACAGAGATCCAGAGGGATTTCTATCTCTGGAATGCTAGGATTAAAGGTGTGAGTGCCACCATTTTCTAGCCTTTGTATCTAGTGGCTGTCTGTTCTCTGACCCCAGATAAATTTATTAGAGTACACAATATTTTGGGGAACACAATACCACCACAGGATTCATAACAGTTCCTTACCCTCTAATATCCTTAATGAATTGAGTAGTATCCAGAAATTTTTAGATCAGTTTATTCCTGGGTCCTGTCACTTTGTTTATATCTTCTAGTGCTTTCTAACCCTTATCCCTCAACTTGGGTTCACTATATTATGCTTTCAATTTGATCGATTTCTGTAAGAAAAAAGTTCTAAGTTGACCAATTTGAGTTCCCAACTCCTCGATAAGTTGGAAGTCAGCTTTAGTTTACATTCTGAGCAAGGATGAAGAATCAGTATTTTCATAGGAAAATTATAAAGACTTGGAGGTATTTCACAATTGGTTGATAAGTCAAAAGTGATTGTTTTGGAATGAAAGAACGCACTTAGTACAAAGCAATAGCAAATGCCAGATACTGCTCATGAAGGTAAACTGTTAAAGACATGCTAGGAGTAAATTGTTTTGACTATTTTTGCTGTAGTTGAATGTCTTAAGACCAAATTTGATATTTTTAGATAGAATTTGTCTTCGCTTGCACATATAATAATTTTATTAAAATATTTAATGATACAACCTCTAACTGTGTTCCAGTAATTTTTTTTCTTTATGTGGGTTAGCATGTGCTAAACTCAAATCTCTTAAGAATTTTACATCAGTATCTGGACATGAAGAGCCTAGTTGAAATTATGTTACTAATTCTTTCCCTCTCTTCCCATTAAGGGTTCTGGTCTCTGCTGACACTGTCTCTAACTGCTGGATTCTCCTGTTGCAGCTTCTCTTGGACAGTGACTTATTTTGATTCTTTTGAACCAGGAATGTTTCCACCTACTCCTCTTTCACCTGCTAGGTTCAAGTAAGTACTTCTGGGTTTGTTTGTTTGGTTGGTTGGTTGGTTGGTTTTTTTTTTTTTTTTTTTTTTGGGGGGGGTTTTGAGACAGGGTTTCTCTGTGTAGCTTTGTGCCTCTCCTGGAACTCACTTGGTAGCCCAGGCTGGCCTCGAACTCACAGAGATCCACCTGGCTCTGCCTCCCGAGTGCTGGGATTAAAGGTGTGCGCCACCACCGCCCGGCAAGAACTATCTGAGTTCTCTTAAACACACTAAAGTTGAAGAATCAGTAAACTGGGATATGTTGAAGCTCTAGATTTCAATATTAAGACAGTAACAACACAAGATTTTTCAGCATTGGCCTCACCTTTAGGTAATTGGAGAAGGACATTTTAAATTCCCTATCTAAATAATGTACTTTAAAAAATATTGAAAATCATACTTTATGCCCATGAATATTTGCATTTGATGTGGATAAATATTTAATTCATAATTAAATATTCTAAGAGTTACACCTAAGAGTGGAATACCATACTATAGATTACTTGGTAGCATTCAATCAGAAAGCTTATTTGGCTAAGATGGAAAAAGTTTAAATTTATATTGCTTTGCTGCCCATTGTGTAATGTGCTCATTTTTCTTTTATTTGTGTTTGACTTCTTTCCTAATTGCTAGTCTTGTATTTCCAGCTGTTTTGGCCTTAGAGTTTTGAGGATTAAAGAGTTTTAGTGTTCTTCTAAAGATCTGGTAACTAATTATATTGTATTAAGTTTTAATAAATTAATTTTTTATTAAATTGTAAGTAGAAATAAGGAACCTCTATTGTCAAATATTTATTAGTCATTAAAATGATAGTTTTAGATCACATACTTTGTGTACTTGGTTGTCTAGTATTAAAAAGTTTTAAAGCACATATAAAATATATTTTAGTATGCTGTGTTCATGTTAATTTTTACAAGTAAACACAAAATTTAAAATACAAAATTATTTTATGTTTATTCAAGTGAAATTTAAGTATACATTCAAGTATACACATAAACAAAGTTTGAAAATGAAAATATTGCCCTCTAGTGTTCATGAAAATAAACAATTATTTCACAATGTGTAAGTGTGTATTCTCCATGTAACCAGTAGAGTGAGTCCTTGCACAGGAAAATAGACTCTTCCTTATGAAAATGTTAAAATCTTTAGACTGTTTACTTAGAAATGAGATATATTTCCCTAATGTACAATATAATGTTTTAATAAAAGTAACTTTATAATGTTATATCTTATCTTACTACCTAAAATAAAGTTAATATAAACGTGTTTCTTGCTTGCTTAAAAGTAATTCTGATTCTTTGTTGAAAGATATTAAAATAGCCTTATGGATATAGCTCAGTTGCTAACGTGCTTGCTTAGTGTGCATATGGCCCTTAGTTTCATCCCTGGCAGTGCATAGTGTGTAGTGGTGCATGTGTGTAATCCCAGCTAGTTCAAGGCCATTCTCGGACTGTATAGCAAGTTTGAAATCAGTCTGGGCTACATGAGACCTTGTCTCCAAAAGAGACAAATACAAGTAAGTGTGTGTGTGTGTGTGTGTGTGTGTGTGTGTGTGTGTGTGTGTGTGTGTGTATGTATGTGTGTATAGATAATGAAAATAACCTATGAAAATTACTTCCAACATTTTAATGTATGTTTTTCCATTCTTTATGTGCTTTATGATTATTTTAGAAATGGGAATTGGAATCACCATGTATGTACTATTTTTCATGATAGTCAAAATTCAAAAATGTAATTGTTTTATTTAAATAGTCTTGATATTCTTTATAGAATAAAACATTTTAATAAAAGACAGAATAACTAATTTCAAGGGAAGAAAATCAAGGCTCCTTTTCTATGACTTGCATTTAACTGAAACAAAATTCTTAATGAAATAAAGTAACATTTCTTGCTATTTAGCAAATATGAGGTAAAAATATAATAAAATTAGCAATCTGAATGAATAATTTAGCTTGATACTAAAAACGAAATACTTTTCTTGTCACTTATTTTTACTTAACAAAAATTGTGCTACATTTTATTTAATTGTGTGTATGTGTGTGCTCCTGTTGCCACAGGTACACATGTGTGAAGGTCAGAGGACACCTGGGAGGAGTCTGTTCTGGTCTTCCACCGTATGGGTTCTAGGGATTGAATTCAGGTCTTCCGAGCTTGGCCAAAAGCACTTGTACCTGCTGAACAATCTTGCCTTCTACCAGTATATTTTTTTGAATTTGGCTAAGTTTACAAATGCATGGAGCCATCTTCCTGTCAAAGTCCATTAAGTACCTTTTTGAAAATATTGCTTTATCTTTTATTTCTAAAAGTGGTATGCAAAAGTGAAAATTTTGCCCTAATATACTTCTAAAATAATTACATGGAGAACTATGTCTTAGCCACTTGGAATTTGCAGTGTTAAAGAACAAAGCAGAAGTTTGGATTTTGTGGAGTTATCTACATTATTCCTTAGTTGTCATTAGGTTATAATTGACTATAACAGTCTTCTATAATTCATTATTTTTCCCCACAGTGTTTCATTAGTATCTCCAACTCACTTTCCTCATTCATTGGGTCTTATGAGTGGGTTCCCAGCAGGCAATCAAGCATATGTATCGTCATTACATTACTTTATGTTGTGATATCTACATAAGGTACCTCCACACCAAATTACTGTATACAAAGAGACCTTTAAGTTATTTTGAGGTTCATTTTAGGAAGGCCAGTGGCAGAACCAGACATTTAAGTCTTTTGTGATTGGAGAGGAAGTTAGGTAGGATATCTACCTTGAAGTTGAATTTTTCCTAAAAGTACAACTTTTAAACTAGTAATTTAATACAAGAGATGTCTTCGAGATTCCAAATAAAGATCATAGAGGAGCCAAATTTCTAAGCCCCCCATAGGTATTACCATTAATGTTGTTTTTCCATTTTATAACATGAAGAAACTGAGTCCCAGGAGTTGAAACAGCTTGTACACTCCAATTATTTGCATGTAACTTAATGCATCTGACTACTTTTATTTTGCCTCATAAACTCAGACTTCTACATTATGAAATAAACCAATAGGAGAACTTTTACTAATTGTGACTTTGTTGACACCTAACTGAGCTTTTATAGTATGGCGGTTTTGCCTCTGCAATGTGGCTGTATAGAGTAGCAACTTTTTTTTAACATCTATCCTCAGCTTCACTGTTCTCCCTAAGTCAGTGACACTTTCTAATTTAAACGGCACACATTTTACATTACCTCTATACAGGCACCATCTAGTGGTAAATGGTCTGTCTATAGGCTTGCAATTATTTCACATGCTAAAGATAAAACCTTGTAATTACCAAAAAAATCTTAACCTATAATACAAATATTACTTTGTAGACTAGTAATAAATTTAGTTGGAAATCGAAAAAAAAAATCTTGTTAACTTGAAAAAAATGTCCATTGGGTCAGAAGTCCATATATTCCTATAACCTTTGGTTATAAAACCAAAATAACCTAGGCGTTCCAAAGTAAGTCATTTCTGTTTTATTGGTGTTACATTTTACATTTAGTATTTTACATTTAAAGTGAATTTGTATAACCTACCAGAGGTCTGGTGGACTTCCATAGTTAATTAGCTCAAACATTGTGAAGGGAGTTACAAGTTATACTAAGAAACCTTTTTTATTCTTCCAGTGCTAGCCATTGAGCCTAGGGCCTTCACTTGCTTAGCAAGCATTCTACCACTTGAGCTATATTCCCAGCTGTAAAGAAATATTTTATGTCACAAAGATAAATTATTATTTTATGAAGATACATCAAGATTTATTTCCAAGGAGAGAAAAAAGTTTGTGCTTATAATTACAAGACTAGGAGAACTCTATTATGGAAATAAGTGCTGCTCGAGATTTCAAAATTCCAATCTTAAGCTGATCAAAGATTAACTAGCAAAATGGCTCAGCAGATACAAGTGCTTGCTGCCAAGCCTGGTGACCTGAGTGTGATCCCCAAAGAGGAGAGAATCAGCCCTCAGGTTGTCCTCTACCTTCACTTTCATACCATGGTTTACCTCTCCCCAACTAAATAAACATGATTTAAAAAATTTAAGATTTCTGGTGTATTGTGTATTTGAATCTAAAGCTTAGATTAAATAACTTAATGTTAAGAAACGTTTTTTAGCCGGGCGGTGGTGGCGCACGCCTTTAATCCCAGCACTCGGGAGGCAGAGCCAGGCGGATCTCTGTGAGTTCGAGGCCAGCCTGGGCTACCAAGTGAGCTCCAGGAAAGGCGCAAGGCTACACAGAGAAACCCTGTCTCAAAAAACAAAAAAAAAAAAAAAAAAAAAAAAGAAACGTTTTTAAATAGACTTCCTGCTTTTAAGTAACACTGAAGAAATGACATGCTGTAGTCAATAGCATTGCAGATATGGAGACTACTTCAGCTCTGATAAGTAAATCTTAAGCCACCTTCTATGAGAGTAGCTCAACTTGAGTCTCACAACTAACAGTGAGCCTACTTGAGGCTAACTTGTTTAAGAATTACCTACCATTTGCAAGGGTAAGGCAGGAGGCCTGCCATGAGATCAAAGTTAGCCTGGGGGTTACATAGTGAGTTCTAGGGGAGCCTGAAACTAGAGATCCTGTCTTTAAAAACAAATTATCTCCTCCTTATGCAGTTTAATAACCTTGAATATCTTTGTTTACAATATGAATATTTGTTGAAAGAAAAACAATTACATTAGTAACAGGGCTGTCTCTGACTCTTTTATTGGCTTTTGGTACCCTACTCCTCTCATACTGGGTCACTTTGTCCAGCTTAATACATGGGGAGGTGCTTAAGTCTTACTGCAGTTTGAACAGAGGGTGGGTGGTTGGGGAGACTGGGAGGAAAGAGGAGGCGGGGGAAACTGTGGCTGGGATGTAAAATAAATTTACTGAAAAAGAAAAAGACTTTCTTTAAATGTTTGTAGATCACTTTTTAAAGTTTGTGCTTATGTTATCCCTCAAATTTTGAAGCCATTTGGAGTTACCATAA